TGCTTGTAGCAGGCAGCTGAGATTGGGTTTGTCCTGCAATGAGTGATTGTATGGAGTTACATTAATTGGCATTCTTAGTTTATGCTCGACATACTTAGAATCATAGCATTGGAAGGGACCACCAAACTAACTGTCGCTATTTTCCAGAGACGTCCCTGATTTAGAGAAGCCATCCTGGTTTCTGATTTGATCCCAGAATGTCCCACTTTCCCTTAGGATGTCTCTATTTTAATTGGATAAATGTTGGAGGGTATTGAGTTATCCTCCCCCCAAGCTGTCTGAAGGCAATCCTGTATAGGGAAGTTTTTTTAAAAAATGTTTAATGTTTTATTATGTTTTTATTTATGTTGGAAGCTGCCCAGAGTGGCTAGGGCAACCCAGTAAGATGTGTGGGGTATAAATGGTAAAATTAACATTGTGGAAATGGACGTCCCTGTTTTCAACGGAGAAAGGTTGGAGGGTATAGGACATGGGGGTCATCTAGTCCAACCCCCCTGCAATGCAGGAATCTTTTGCCCAATGTGGGGCTCAAACCCATGACCCTGAGCTTAGAGCCTCATGCTCTACCGACTGAAATATCCTTGAAATCTTAAAAAAGATAAACCTTCCCACACCTGCACATCTCAGCATGATCTTCAAAGGTCTTATCATGAAGAGATTTTCTGAGTGGCTTCTATCTACATGATTACCTCTAAATATTTTAATTCATGAAATTTGTGTGTTCGTGTGTGCGTGCTTGTGTGGGTTGTTGTTTTTTGGGGGGGGAGAGAGAACAACATGCCCTTCTCCCTTTTGGATTTTGACCTATCACCTGGCTGCTAACCTGTTAGGATGGCGCTTGCTTGAAATAATTTTGCAAGGATCCATTCCGGTCTAGTAACTTTGAATGTAAATGAATCTGGATTGGGGGCGGGGAGGGGCAGGTGTTGCTGAAGGAGGTCAGGTGGTTTGGTTGGACAAATTTAGCTTGGCACATTCCCTTTCCTTACAGAGGCTGAGACACAAGAACAAGCTCAGGTTTGAGAACTAAATGGAGCTGAGGAAACAAGACATGTCCACCCTTAAGAGATTTGACAGGGAAGCTGTGAGTCTGAGTAAGCTGTAGATCCTCACCTATCATTAATCTGTGAGTGGATATCTATAGAATCACAAAACACCAGAAATCTCCTCTAACTCCAGAAGCTGCATCCAGTGTGGTGTGGTGGTTAAGAGCGGTAGACTCGCAATCTGGTGAACCGGGTTCGCTTCCCCGCTCCTCCACATGCAGCTGCTGGGTGACCTTGGGCTAGTCACACTTCTCTGAAGTCTCTCAGCCTCACTCACCTCAGGGGGAGGAAGGGAAAGGAGATTGTTAGCCGCTTTGAGACTCCTTAGGGTAGTGATAAAGCGGGATTTCAAAGCCAGAATCCTCCTCCTTCTTCTCCATCCCTGGATTTAGGAATAGATGGACACCAGAAGCTGCCTTATAGTGAGTGAGAGCTCTGGTCTAGCTAGTTCAGTACACTAGAGGTAGCAACATGGCGACCACATCTTTTTTTGGACTACCACTCCCATAACCCCATGCCATTGGCCATAGTGGTTGGGGCTGATGGGAGCTGGAGTCTAGCAATATCACCATGTTGGCTACCCTTGGTCTGCACTGGTTGATTGTGCTCTCCAGGCTATCAAACAGGAGTCATTTTCCCAACCCTCCTAGGAGATACCAAGGTTTGAAACAAGGACGTTGTGCATGTGAAGCAGGTGCCTTACTCGAGAGTCATAAGCCTTCCCTTCCCTTCTTATCTCACAGCTCAGAAATGGCTGAAAAGGAAAAGAAACACCAGCCTTCTCGATCTGAACTGCAGAAGAGCACCGGTTTTGAAGAACAAACATATCACAACCATCCATGTAACATTTCTTATCTGCATAAAGTTTAAATCTGAAGTAAATATGTCTGGTGCCCAAAATACAACCTGATCTCCCTCCTCTCCCTCCTAGGCTCATTAGGGTGACCACAGTTGCTGCCACAGGTCCTAATTTAGAAATTGAGATCTTCAAAAGATTGAAGATGCTCATGCCTGTAGGGCCCACTTGTTAAAGAGCAAAGACAATCTGTAGACTTCCCTTTTGACCGCCACATTTTGCCAGGTTAAGACATGATGTAAACCCTGTTCTCAAGAAGTGGCTTCTATCAGCATTATGAGCAGTAACTTTAAATCCTGATCTAGCTGCCAGGGAAGACTTAATCAGGCTGCTTGCAGGCTAGCGCCTTTAGATATGTAACTATTTAGTTAGGCACCCTGTATCAACAACATGCAAGATGAGGCATATAAACTCAGGGCCGGATTTAGGTTTGATGAGGCCCTAAGCTACTGAAGGTAATGGGGCCCTTTATATGTCCAGCTGTCCTTTGTCAACAAAAAAATGTCGCTGTTTTTTGCGTTGAATATATGCTATATGGTAATTTATGGATCCAATAAATCCATACACAACCTGAAACACTGTTGCTGTATGTAGGTTTTATTTTATTTGTTTTTTTTATCTTATATTTTGTAAATGTACATCCAAGTTTTTTTTCCCTTTAAAAATTTTTGGGGCCCCCAAGAGAGCGGGGCCCTAAGCTATAGCTTGTTTAGCTTAAACGTAAATCTGGCACTGGGGTGGGGAACAGGACTAATACGAAAAGCCAAGATGTATAAAGAAAACACGCAGCAAACAATATTAATAATACAATGTATGATAATTAAAATCAGCAAAAGACCGGGGGGGATGACTTTTTTGCAACACCTAAAGCGATTTGCAGCTCAGATTTAAAAGATAATTTGCATGGTGGAAAAATGAGGGCACATGACAAATATCACAATACAGTGGTGAGTGAGCATTCAGTGGGCAGGATTCGCCTAACAAACTCCATCAGTGGAAGCCTTGCATAAGGGCTTTCCCCCTTCTCTCCACCCCCCCCCCGCACCCCCTGCCCAAACTAGAATTGGCACAAGGGGGTCTGGCGAAATCTCAGAACAGCATGCCAGGTGAAGAGATGAGAGGGCTAGCACAGCTGGAACGTTTGGAATAGTGGAACATTAAATTCTGCCCAGTATGTCCATCTGCCTGATTGGTGAGATGTCCTCCTTTTTTGAGGGATGAGATCCACACAAAGTCATCTATTCATTCATCTATTTAAGAATCTCTAGAACCTCCCCCTTCCTTGACAAGTGATTCTAGGGCAGATGCAATAAACGGGAACCAGGTTTTTCCTACGGAGCTTCTGTCTCCCACAAAATGTTATGTGCATGGGGGAAAGAGCAAGACTGCTCCATCGGTGCAAAAGGAGGACAAGCGGAGTGATAAGTGTAGCCCTGTTGAGAGCATTCATAACACTCACATGTAAGCAATCACATGGGGGATGGGGTAACACTGCTAAGCTGCCCCACACCCTCTGGCATGTCATCTGTTCATGATTTAGAGCAGGAGCATTTGTTTGGGAGGGTTGGTAGTGTTGACATTTCCATTCCACCTTAAGGAACAGGCATGAGATGGTTGTGTGTCACATGTCTGTTTACATTCCAGCACAGTATGCTGGGAACTTCCGTTTCCGTACAGCTTTTGCTCTAGCTGTTCTCTCTGAGACGACTTGTTTCTTTGTTCTGATTTATGATTAATAAATCTGTAGCTATAGTATAACTTCACATGCCTCACGCCTATTCTGTGTGCGCAATACATTCAGCTAAAAGAGTGCCCTGCCTTCTAAAGTCTGGGTCGCTGATTTGATTTACGTCAGAGCACAGGCCAATTGAAGGAGACGTCCGAGCTGGGACTTATCAGCTGGCTTCCTGGCCCTCTCCATGTTGACAGGTAGCATACACCTAGCCTCCTGGCACCAGCGTCACTGAGGTTTACTGGGAGCGAGAGCAGGAGGCAGCAGGGAGGTCCACATCATTCCAACCTCCCAACTGCATTGCTCATCCTTCTCTCCCATCCAGCAAGTCATAGCAACGCTGGAACCAGGAAGAGGCCAGATGTACATCACTACTCCTCTCTCCTGGCTCCCCCAGAGTCCTTCATGAGTTTGAGGGCCTCGGTCTGCAGCTGAGAACTTCCTGTGGCCTGGCTGGTTCAGAACCTGCACGATCACAGTGGCCTTTTATCTCAAGGTTGATTTGACCAGCAGGATGACATGCGTCGAAATCTAACCTGGTGCATCCTAATATTCTGCTCCTAATATTTGGCTCCTAATATTCTGCTTTTATCATGACTCCTGTGAGCGTGGTATTTGCCAGCTGTGCAGATATAATGATTTAATCCTTGGCAATTTAGTCTCAAATTAATGCCTTGCAAAACAGCAAATTGCGAATCTCTGCAGAGAACGGGCATTAAATATCTTGGCAAAGAGGAGGAAGCGAGGGGGAAACCAAGGAATTAGAATGCATCACAGTAACAGCAGGGCACAGTTTTGATTTAATAGTTTATTCTGCAGAGCCCCATTCAACATGGCTGCAGTGTGCTACATATCTCACGAGGAGTAAATTTTTCACCATTTGCATACCAGGCCCCCATTCCACCCTACACATTTAGCTGTTGAATGTGGTTAGCTGGCATGTTTGCAGCCATGGAAAAAGAGAAGACGGAATAAAATGATTTATATAGAGTCAAATGCAGCAACCAATTTGGTACCATTGGTCCATGTTTACTCCTGACAGGTCTCTCCAGTGTCTAGCTATGATGCTTCTGGCTGCTGAGAGTAGGTGGGTTATGAGCTCTTTATAGTGTGAGTGAGCATTACTGTCTTGGAAAATATTCATTTGAGTCAGTTCTGGGGTGGGTTCCAATACCTGTTTAGTTATTTTACATATTTCCTGTTGGACTGCTGTCCAAAAAGATTGGATTCGGGCATAATGTGCAGGTTTATCACCCACTCTCTCCCCTCTGCTTTCTCCCCCTACCACTGGATACCATATTGTCTTACATTGAACGTAACCAAAATACTTTATAATCAGAACAAAAAGAGAGAGAGAGATTGCATGTTCTTTTGTAATTCATGAAAATCTTTAATATTTTTTTTTAATGCAGCAACCAGAGAAGGAAAGATGAATGCCTGTTACAAGCGCTGCTGCTGCTGCTGCTGCTGCTGCTGCTGCTGCTGCTGCTTCTTCTTCTTCTTCTTCTTCTTCTTCTTCTTCTTCTTCTTCTTCTTCTTCTCCTTGTTGTTGTTGTTATTGTTGTTACTGTAGGCGTGCAACGAAACCCAGAACCAGTTTTCTAGAATGGGAGTTGCCTCTGGTTAAATTGTATTACATGTTATGAGGCAGACAGGTTTTTGTGGGGGAGGGAATTGAAATGGTGGCTAGACCCAGTTGCCTGGCACTGCTTGGAGTACAAGGCCAACATGTTTATTAAAGGGGATTAGGTGCAGGAGGGAGCCCTGGAATCTGCCCAAGGTCACCAGGTGCCGATGCCCATCATGTACATGATACATCATGTATCAGAGCACTTGGTAGAGCATCACGGCCCACCAAATAGCCCAGAGTAACCTTTCAAAATATGCTGTCAAATGCCTCGGAAGAAGGAAAAAGTTTTATCCATTCAAAACCCACTGCGGCATAAAAGCTTTATGGCCTCACTTACCAAATATTTCAGGGTTTTTTTGTCTTTCTTTCCCTTTTCCTTTGATGGTACAATAAAAATACTGCCTGTAACAACAATATAGAAGCACCATTAGGGAGGGGAAGGAGAACACATTGTTTTCTCATGCTCATTGCCATCCTACACTACAATAACAATTTACTTTGACCTTTGGAAGAAATGCCACAGCTAAAATATTACTAAGGGAGACACATTTTACAATACTTTTTTGTAAACTTCTTTGAGGAAGCAGGACATGAAGTACAGTGCTTGGCTAGTCTAGAAGAAGAAAAATATACAACGAAGGCCACATCATCTCTCCCTCCCTCCCTCCCTCCCTCCCTCTCCCTCCCTTTCTTTGTTTAAAATGTTTTCACATCATGGGGTTGCCTGTGAAATTTACTAGCTTTACTGGCATTGCATATAAACTGCTTAAAATCTGCCAAACTTTGTGCAACCATCAGTGTGCCTCCAAAGTTTTCCTAATGCTGGGAACAGGTGTGCACAGCCAAAGCACAGTGCAGGGCTATTTGAAAGCCCCTTTGCAAAGAACCCCACACTGCTTCCAGAGGCTGTCTCTCCTTCATGCAGACTGCTGCCCCACCTCCTGACAGCACCAGATAGCTCTGGGTGGCCAAACCCAGGGTGATTCAGGGCTGTCACAGTTTGACTCAGTCAAAGCTTAGTTCCTCCTTGGTTTGGGATTGGGCTTTGGTAGAATCTGGCGCACAGCCTTACCTTACCCACTGCTGTCATCCAATACCATTCCCATTTGCTTTCAGAAGGCAAACCAGGTGTGGAATGATGAGGGTTTTTGGCCATTCAAAGTGCTGGCCTGGGTAATCCATTAGCAGGCAGGAGGCTGGCACCAATGGAAGATGGGTAGCAACTGGGACTTGTTGTAGCTCCGTAGTATTGCCTTCCTGATCCCCCTGCTGGCCTCTAAACTGTGGGTCAGCAAACTAAGGCCTGTGGGCCAGATCAGGCCCAATTGCCTTCTAGATCTGGCCCGTGGACGGTCCGGGAATCCAGGCAGCTAGCATAGCATGCGCGAGCGATGGTTTTTGCAACTCAGCCAGGCTTCAGGGTCAAAAGTAAGACGGGCGGCTGCTCGAGACAAGCCCCTTCTCTGTCGCGCAAGCACAGCAATCTTTTCTTCCAGGGTGGGGGATAGGGAAGAAGGAAAAGGAGCCACAGTTTGGATTTCCACCATGGAGCTGCCGGCGACTGACCTCAGGAAGGGCAGTTGCAGTGGCAGGGACTTGGAGGCGCCTTGGGAGCGACACCCGCCAGTGTCTGTGGCGGTGGTGCTCCCCGCCAAAGGAAATGGGGAGCACCTGGGCGGCTGCACTCCAAAACAGTTCTGCACTCTTCTGGGGAGGAAGGACACTTGTTAGCTATACGATGTGAGCCGTGGAAAGGTAAACGGCCGCTGCCACCTCGTCTTCCCTCACGCGGGGAAAAGAACGTTTTTGCTTGAGCGGGCAACGGCTTTTCCCTTCACCCACGCATGCGCACACGCTCTTCAGGGCTGACAGGAATGGCACACTTACCTCAGCCCCCCACCCCACCCCTGCCTTACGAGAGAAATAATAACTGTCAACATGTAAAACACAAAGGAAGCAGTGTGGGTGTATGAGGGAACACCCTCCCCCAAAAAATCACATTTGGGCAACGTTGGGGTTGGTCCCAATAAGGGTTTTTTGTCAAAAATGTGGGTCATAATCATAGCAACATATAGTCTGGCCCCCCACAAGGTCTGAGGGACAGAGGATCGGCCCTCTGCTGAAAACGTTTGCTGACCCCTGCTCTAAACTGACTCAGAAAGAGGGGGAGGGTGTCGGTCAGCAGCCATGAGCACCTTGTAACCTGTTTAAGCTTTGTGGGTCTGCTATTGTCACTGTTAAGTAGTGTCTGGCATGGTGCGGCAGTGGGTTTTGACAAACAGCTAGGATGGAGGCTGAGATAGTGAAAAGAGCCACAATTGTTCATGTGGATGTTATGATATGTTACTGGTGTGTTAGCAACTCACCACTTCCTGGAATTCTCCTATAATGTAGAGTAAACAAGGCAGTGGCAAAGTAGACTTTCACCACATGACTATGATGTATGAGAGTTTTCACATGATTGGGCACCACTGTAAAAACAATGTGGTTGTATGTATTTCAATACTTGATTGCCTTAGTTAAGTACAGTGGTACCTTGGTTCTCAAACACCTTGGTTCTTAAATGCTTTGGTTCCCAAGCAATGAAAACCCAGAAGTAAGTGTTCCGGTTTTCGAACGTTTTTCTAAAGCCAATAGTAAAATTCATGTTAAATTGCTTTCAGGTTAAGAACTTAATTCATTCTGGAGGTCCGTTCTTAACCTGAAACTGTTCTTAACCTGAGGTACCACTTTAGCTAATGGGGCCTCCTGCTGTCACCGCGCCACTGCTGCACGATTTCTGTTCTCATCCTGAAGCAAAGTTCTTAACCTGAGGTCCTATTTCTGGGTTAGCGGAGTCTGTAACCTGAAGCGTCTGTAACCCAAGGTACCACTGAATGGGCATCTTCTCCAGATTGCTACAGTTGTTTCCCAGTTGTTTCTAATACTGAAGACATGTCAGAATGATGGTTTTCTGTCACTAGGTGTCACTATAGTGCAGCTGGGCCAATTAAAAGCCCTTTAGAAGTACATCCATGAGAAATACAGAGGGGGTCCTTACAATTAGGTCAATATTCATTTTATATGGTAGGAACGGAGAAACCTTGCCATCTCCCTGGGCAGAATGAATTGACCCAAGGAAGAAATTTGGGGGGCAGGAATGATAAGCAAGCATAGGGAAAGATCTGAGTAAAAACTAGGACTGTCAACTGATATATATATATATATTTAAAGTTGAGTAATTACCTGCCTTTAATAAAGTGGTTCGTTAATACATTTATTCAATTTAAATAAATCTACATACACTTAGAAAGTGCAGCTCTCTTCTCATTATACAGCAAGTTCTGTAGCAGTTCCAAGGCAGCATTATAAATCGCATGCCAAGCTTTACTAATGAAAGTTAAGCCTCTTTTGGCATATTAGGAGAATCACTTGGAAAATGTTCAAAATATTAATAGTATATTTGGCTTCGAGGTCTACACATGGCAAGTGTAAGCAGTGGTGAAATGTGACTATACTTCAGCTCTGCTACTACGAATTTGAAACTGATGTGATGATGATGATGATGCGTTGTTTAATATAAATATGATTATGGAGATTTATGGAGGAAGGTGTGTCACTGTGATAATTAAAAATGAAACCTCCATAGTTAGAAATGGTATACTTCTGATTGTCAGATGCTGAGGACAAACAGCAAAGGAAGGCCATTGCACCCTGGATGTGACTTTCCCTGACTTGTCACTTTTGCATATGGTGCCCTATACTAGAGATCCACTAGACTAATCCAGCAAGTCAATCCCCATATCTCCATGTTGTTGTTGTTGTTGTTGTTGTTGTTGTTGTTACCCCATCCATCTGTCTGGGTTTCTCCAGCCAGTCTGGGCAGCTTACAGCATACATAAAAACATAGTGAAACATCAAACATTAAAAACTAAACAAATATTAAACTATTTACAGTCTGCTATTTAAGGCTCACATCATAAGAGTTAATCTTCCACAACACTTGTTTCTAATTCAGTGTTAGAGAGATTGACCACATATCTCTTGTACAGGTGTGGCCAAAACACAGGTGTATCCCTCTCTTGCTTGCTAGTTCACAACTAAGAGTGCCTAAGTGTTAGGTATGCTTAGGGAAAAAGGGTTTCACATTAAAATACTTGTTGATTAATAATAGGAAATGCAAGAATAATTTAGCCAGGTTTATTCGAAATGGGGGATGGACAGGTTAGTGTCTTTCAGGTCCTTGCCGCTTTGTTTTTTCACCCATGTATCTGTTCTGTCACATTTATGCATTCATATGAGAGTTTTAAAAAGCTTGCATGTTTGCCTTTTAAAATGCATCCGTATTCAGGTTTTAAATGCATTTTAATATGTTGCTTCAACTGAGAACAGCTTTGGAACGTTTTGGAAGTTCTAAAGCTGGTGGATAATTAAGTTCCTATTAGTATTAGTCTGGGAAGTGTGGGTCAGGTCCATTTCTTCTGGAATACAAAAAGATCAAATTCCTCAAGCATCCCTATTAAAAAAAACATTTGTCTTTCTTTGTCAGGACAATTATAATAAATTTGTTCAGAATGCGTATTATTGGTAGGTTGAAAACCCCCCCCCCACTGATTTTTGTCTCTTTTTTCTTAGTTCAATGCAAAGGGTATAAATTCCAATTCACATGCAAAATTATGACATTTCAGAACTATGTTTGGGCACTGAATGTTGAGCTAAGATTCAACCAAAGGTCAGAAAACCCTGACCTAGCTAATGCCCAGACATGCTGTTTTTGCTATCCACTATAATCTCTTATTTTGTCTCTGTCAGGTCTTACCAATTCTGATTTCATTTTGTCAGAGTAAACATACATTATTAATAAAAGAGGAATAAAACATTTTCTCTTTCCTTTGTCTGTTCCTTCTAAGTGTCTTCAACCACCTTGATAACTGGGGTAGAACAAATTGAATTCTTCTTCTGTCTCCCCTGTTATACTGAAAGTGAGTCAGCCAAATGTTCATGGATTCTGAATGTACAGTATTTATGTTTATTTATCACAGCTGTATCTAGCTTTCCAATGTGTAATGGTGGGAAGTTTCATGTCGGAAGCAGAGTTTTCTTTCTCAATGTTGGAGCAGATAAAATTAACCATTTAGGCAGAAATCCTCAGCAATCCACGAGCAGCACCCAAGTGGCTTCTCTGGGACTCAAGCCTAGGCAGTGTGTATGGAGGTCCTGGGCTATCCAGACAACAAGACCTCCCTTCTTGGCCTCACCAATGTGGTCCAAAGGACAGCAGAGCAATACATATGCACAAGGTGCCATTCAACCATCATAGGGACTCCACTTGGTGTAAGGTTTACTTCTTAGCCCTTTTTTCTCCTGAAGGTGTCCCGCAAAGCAGTGGAGGTTCAGGGTCAGAGTTTTCCTTTTCCTAGGTGGGCTAGCTTCTCAAGTTGTCACACCCCATCAGCTTCTCACTTCCCCCTTGACCATTAGACCCACTATTGGTCTCATCCTCTCAAACCACTAGAGTCTGTCTCCACATGCAACTTTCTGACTAGTTGCAGGACCTTAGCCAGACCTAGCAGAGTAAACGCAGAATCCACTGAAGCAGTTGGCGACTTGGATAGATGAAGCAGGAACCAGGAACTTGTAGTTAGGTGTTTATTATATACAGTGGACTATTTACAGGAACAGAACACGGATCTTTTGCTAACTCTCTCTGACATAACTCACAACTCCTACACTGACACAGAACTCTGAACTCACAAACTCCTGAACTAACACATTCCAGTTAGTAGGCCATTAATTATCACTCCATTGAGAGAGCTTGACCAATCAGGAAGCGGTCTCCATGTCTCTGTTATCACCAGGCAGACTTATTCCTTCAGATTGCCTTCTAGCTGTCTGCCAAACCTTAATTGACTCTGTGTGAGTAGCTGCACATATTCAGATTCCCAACAGAGGAAGTCCCAATTTGCTTGAAACCAATCGACTACCCTCACTTGATGTAGCTGACCAGTCAAATCCATTCCTGGGGTGTGGCTGTTGTCACATGCTGACAGCTTCTAGAAGCCACAGGTGAGAGCTGAGTGCAGGGTGGGGACCAAAGGTGAACAAACTAACCCAGAAGGAGCATGATGTGTCCCCCACCAGAGGTACTACCCTTCCCCTAACTACCCACCCACACATTACAACACTAAAATCACCATTAACATATCCAGTATCAAATGCAATAGAGAAACAGGCACTAAAATTACATAGTTTTATTATGTACATTTGTTCTCAAAAAATACATTGACTTCGTCTACATTCTGATAATATGTCAAATTCTGTTTATTGCTAATCTTGAAAGGGCATTTTATATCACTTTATGTAAGCTGCTTAGAGACATTTTCTTTTTGATTAAGTGGTACATAAATCTTGCTAAATGAATGGATATGATCATAACTGGGCAG